TGGAGGTTGCCCGACGACGCGAAGACCACCTGGTCGCGACGCGAAGGGGACGGGCGGATGTGCGATTCGCAGACACGCGACGCACGAGACCGAACCAAACCGCGGTCAGCACACGGCCAAACGTCAGCAATCGGCCAGCAGGGTCGATAGTGAGGCGGTTGTCCCCCGAAGAAGTTAAACGTCGACGTGAGAAAGGCCTCTGCTTCAAGTGTGAGGAGAAGTTTACTCCCGGTCATCAATGCAAACAGACCTTTGTAATAGAGGTGGCCAACCCCGACGATGAGGAAGCTGAGGTCGAGGAGGAACTACACCAGGAAGAGGAGACTGAAGCACTTCATGAGGAGCCTGAGATCTCGATGCACGCAATGGCTGGAATCAGAGGACCTCGAACGATGCGATTGCCAGCCTGGGTCAAGGATCGGAAGGTGGTGGTGCTAGTAGACAACGGGTCATCACACAACTTCATCAATGCCGACTTGTCCCAAAAGCTGAACTTACCAACCACGAATATTGAACCTTTTGAGGTACGAGTAGCCAATGGTGAGAGGCTGCAATGCACTAAATCCTTCCGGAAGGTGCCAATCAGGTTCAGCGGAGTTACAGTGAAGGCTGATCTCTATGTCTTACCGCTGGTTGGGCCGGATGTCGTCCTAGGTGTACAATGGCTTGAAGGGTTAGGCAAGTTGACCACCGACTATCGGACATGAATTATGGAGTTCAAATCCGGAGGTCAGCAAGTCACTCTGAGTACTGGCAATGAAAAAGGTACCAAGGAGCTAGGGCTTAAGAGCATTAAGAAAGTTTGGCAGGGTAGAGACCAAATATTTGCAGTAGTGATGGAAAAGACTGAGGTACACATAGATCAAGTGGAGCAACGGCAGGGAGATGTGCACGAGCTTCTCCAGGAATTTGAGGGAGTACTGGGCGAACCTAAGGGACTACCCCCACACCGGGAGTTCGATCATCGAATACCATTGATCAACGAGCAACACGCCATACACGTTCATCCTTATAGGTACGCTCACTTTTAGAAAACCGAAATCGAATGGCAAGTGGTCGAGATGCTTGAATCAGGACTAATCCAGCATAGCAAGAGTCCGTTTTCTTCTCCAGTCTTGTTAGCCAAAAAGAAAGACGGCACGTGGAGGTTCTGTACTGACTACCGAGCTCTGAACGCTGCAACCAGCAAGGACCGATTTCCTATCCCGAGCGTCGATGACATGCTCGATGAGTTAGCCGGGTCACGCTATTTCTCAAAGCTCGTTCTGAGAGCTGGTTACCATCAAATTCAACTCCATCAGGCCGATATTCCAAAAACAACATTCCGTACGCACCAGGGGCACTATGAGTATCTGGTTATGCCATTCGGATTATGCAACGCCCCATCCACTTTCCAGTTCGCAATGAATTCTATCTTCAAGGAGTATCTACGAAGGTTCGTTCTGGTATTCTTTGATGGTATCTTGATCTATTCGAAGCCATGGGGCGAGCACCTTGGGCATTTAAGAGTAGTGCTCAAAATTTTGGAGGCCAACTCATTCCATATCAAGCCATCCAAATGTTCATTCGGACAGAAGATGGTTGAGTATCTGGGGCACTTCATATCACACGAGGGCGTGAAGGTTGATCCACGAAAGATTGAGGCTATGGTCGATTGGCCTAAGCCAACAAGTCTCACGCAGTTGAGACGATTTCTAGGACTCACAGGCTACTACCGAAAGTTCGTGAAGGATTACGGAACCATCGCCAAACCC